TCAAAGCAGATCAGAAGGCAAACTAAAAGATGCAATACTACTACTCCATACTGTAGTCTCAACGCTTAGGACGTCTCCCCTTAATCAATGTTGCCTCCACTTCTATCTCTCCGTTGATTAGTTCTTTGGTTCACAAGAGGCTCATGTTTTAGATACCGGATTTTTCTGAGTTCTTTCTCTTCTGGACCATAGGCGATAGTCTACATCTAACCTTAGTACACGGGGGATCTGCTCGTCTTATCAATTGCTGTCATTCCTGTTTATTCTTTTATTATTACTGCAGCTCCCTCTTTCTTCAGTTATCACTTATTCTTTTTTTCGCCTCTCATATACTTCCCTCCCCCTCCATTACCATTCTTCTCTCTACTGACCTTGCTTAATTTTTGTCCTCTTCCTATCCTCTCACAGCATTGGGGGTGTCCGTTATCGGTTTGCGCCTCGTTCCTTTTTCATGGCCCTGTAAAACTTTAAAGTTCCTCTGTTCCTCCCATCTGCTCCAGTTGCCTTCCAACGACTTCCGGCCATCCTCTTGTTCACCACTTTTGCCTCTTCGCTAGATGTCGAGTCCACAAGGTATGTACATGCAGCTCGCAATTGTGCAATGTCAATGCTACACACCCTTCTCGCCAATGTTCTTTTTCTTCTTCGCTGTCTTCCGAAAAAGTTAAATGCCGGTGATCCTTTTCTCGAATACTATTCTATCCTGATTCCTCTTTTGTGTTACTCGAGGATTTGTACCGTGATACCTTCGTTACCTCTCTCGTCCGGGACGGTGACATGACTGCGCTCCAACGCTCCTTCTACTGATAATGCAAACGCCCTTCCACCTCCAATCTTCCCCAATCTTCTGTCCGGTTCCTCTTTTGTCTTCACTGAGTCAGATCAATTTATCTTGGCGACAATCTACCCGCTTGACACCGTCATTTGCCTCTGGTATGAGGTTGCACATCAGATAGAGGCCCATTGCCACTGTCCTGCTTTTGTACAGTCTTGACAAAGGCGACCCTTCCCGACTAACTCTCGGTCAGATTGTATTTACAGGGGCCGTTTCTTTGAACGACTCATCCGTTGATCTCTTCGTCTGTGGATCAAGGTTGCTCTCTTCAAGCTGTATCTGTCACAGCTTGTTTCATTCGGACCTTTCTATCGTCAGCCTGCATCTTGTGTCTAGCCACACAAGTTCGGCCGGATGCCATACACTGCGCCATTGAAGTCGTCGCCTTCTGCGCAGCACATTGAACACTCTCAACTCATCTCTCACTCTTGTCCCAGCTCACCACCATCGGCCGCTTCGAAAGCTGGGCGTCCGCACCTCCCACGTTCCTACTCATCTACCGCTTATGTTCGCAGGCACAGAAGGAGCCCGTCGAGCAGCAAGTCCTTTGTCTTCCCAGCTGCTGACAATCGTCCTCCTAAAACTAACCATGTTGTCGACGCTCTGGCTAGTGTCCGGCAATCCCCGCCTCCGATAAGCGATGCCATGATTCCTCCAGGGGCCGTGATCTCTCCACCGGAGTCGGCACCGAATTCAAGTGATGAAGAGTTGACGCATCAGCACCGGGATGCACTGAAACTGGAGGAACTCGAGGCGGCCGTGAGGTCCATTGAGCAGCGACGGACGCCTTCTCCGGAGAGGGAAGCAGCAGCAGAGAAGTCGTCGTCGAGTACGGCACCGCAGGAGTCTTCTCGTCCACCACTAACCAAGGAGGCTCGCAAAATCTCACACTCTCGGTCGGTAACCGAAAGCTCTATCTCCCAGAAGAACGAAGAAGCCTTGACAAGCTCACCGGAAGAGAGTGAGAGGGATGATGAGCCCCAGAGGAAGCAGCCTATGGTGCGAAAGAAGTCAGGAGAACTTGTGAGACCCGCTCTTCGCCCTCCGTCGGCGCGGCGGCGGCCCTCTAGCATGCCGGGTACGCCCACCTACGCGAAGGCGGTGCATTTTGACTCTCAGCTCGAACACATTCGTCACTTCTTGCAGTTGGACAAGCCACAGGCGGTCAGTGCCAACACGTCTCCTGTGGAGGACTATAACAATGAAAGTGAATTTCCCTTTGAGATGCCTTCCTTCGAGTGGGAGATTCGACTTTCAAACTTCCCCAAGGATGTCTCCTCTAGAGCTCTTCAAAAGGTGCGACTCGAACGACTATTCCTATCATCGGACAAGGATACATTGGTTGGCGTGGTGGCAGTTGCCAATCTGGCTTTTCAGAAGCACGTTGCCGCTCGCTTTACCTTCGACTACTGGAGGACAGTCTCTGAAGTTACTGCGGAATACAATGACGATGTCCGTCGGAAGCAAGCTCATGACGGCTATGACCGGTTTACCTTCAGCATCAGGCTCACTGACCATGCAAACTTGGAGCAGAAAACCATGTTTGTCTGCGTCCGCTATAGCGTGGCTGGGCAGGAATTCTGGGACAACAACAATTACATGAATTACCAAGTCAACTTCGTTCGGATCCCCCGGCCACGACCAGAGCCGCGGAGTCCGTCAGCTGCAAGCTCGCGCCCAGCTCTTCCTCGTAGCAAGAGCTTTGCCGGCGTCAACAGCCGTCCTTCTTCGATGCCTTCCTCGCTCGATGATTTTGATGAGGATATGAACGATTATTTATCCTTTGGTCGTCCCAAGAAAACCTTGAAAGAGGAATCTTCATCCGAGAATCTGTTGAAGGAGGTTCACAGAATGTCTGCTTCCCGCGAGAAGCAAGCACGACAAGCGTTCGGCAATCGCTATGATTTTGGGGCCTCCTTGTCCGCCGTCATGCGGACCAAGCCCGCCCATGATCGCACGACTCTGACCGCTCGAGCAAAGTCTGACACTACCAAGTCTGACCCTGTGAACAGAGACCCTGTCCCGGCGGAAGGTCTACATGTCAAGAAGGTCTCCCCAGTTAGCGAGGTCAGCTCGCAACTTGCACTCTCGGAACACGTCAAGCCCTCGTCCCTCTTGTCCAGCAAACCCCACCATGATTCATCTGTGTACAAAGAACTCGTCGACAAGTTCTGTTTTTATGGATCATCGAAGGGCTCCAATGGCACCAACGACTCGCTTAGTAACGGGAATTTGCATCCCGATTCTTCGAGCGCATCCAGCACCTCCCCCGCACAATCCTTGTCGCCTCCTCTCTCACCGCGTTCGACAGAGGTCTTGGGAATCGACTACGGGAATAGCCGCTCGTCGTCTGCTAGCCCAGTCAGCTCAAGCCCCCGTGCAGCTTCATCATCACCAACCCATTTCGACTATGCTCATCACCCTCACATGCAGGGCAACTTCTTAAAAGAGAGCCCGACACCGGCAGTCATCAGAGGGTGAGTTCGCTCTTCCATGACTACCGATAAACAAATTGGGTCCATCTTCACCGTCATTGTACCTCTTCTCACGCTGTGGTTGAAGGTCGCACAGTACTTTGATACTCACTCGTGAGACGATCTATTCGAGGGATACATTCATCGACCCTCCCTCAACCCATCATTTCTCTACCCGATCAGTTGTTTGCTGAATTAGCAGGGGACCTATTGTCGCCATTGCGTATAATAGCTATGGCTTGGTATCCTGGTTCTAATACTTATTTTCCCCTTTCCTTACTCTGGTGTTCAGGTCAAGTATTGAGGCTTTTCCCTTTGCGATGTACCATAAACCGCGGGGAAGTGCCTTGTACTTGCTTGTTATCCTCTTTTCCACGAAGCAATGATTATGGTGGAAAGCAAGTTATGTTCATGCATGATTGTGCTCAGTGTGGTCTTTTTGATGTCAGTCTTGATTTGTTCAATGAGTACGATGATACGAATTTTCTTCTCTGCGTTTGTTCCTGCATAGTAGTCTGGTAGTCTGCTTAACAGCATTCTATGAGATGAAGCATTTGCAATCAGGAAAAGTTTCCACACAGTTTACGCTGTTGTTATTGAACATTGCTCAACTTTAGTTGAGTTTTCTGCATGGAGTTTGGGGTCATGTGCGACATTCTGCTGTCTTTGCTACGGTTCCCTGGGCGGGTAACAATGCCTTTTTTTTATTGTCTGCCACACGGGGTAGTTCTGGTAGATATGTGGAGGCAACGACAATTCTCAATACATTAAACACACGGTTATTACTTGTCTGTTTCAGTACTTCTCAGCCTTTAGTCTGTAGCCTTGTAGCCGATGCAAAACCGAGCGTGTCTAGCTGCTGATGGTATGGATCATTACGCAACTTGCGCTGAAGATGTCCCTCTGTCGATAGTCTGCTGACTCTCTTCAAGGTCGCTGTCTGACATGTTTTTGGTATTCTTAGATAATGTATTTCTCGACCGCGTCGGTCGAGTGAGAGGTATGAGAGAATGATTCCCCGACATGATTAGGAGCGGCTGCAAGTTTAGATGTGGGGTGCTGGAAGGTAGAACCCCAGATAGGCTCGATCCTTGAGTGATTGTTCGGTCTAACTCCCGATCGGACTATCAGGGAGGGATCGTAAGAGATAGCTTGGTCACAACAGACAGAATCCATAATTAGCATTGACTACGCGTATCTATACTTTTCTGGCGTACAATTTCCCTTGTAAATAGATACCTCGACGTTGGTGATAAGGTGTGTCGCCAAGCCGTCACGTGATCTTACCCGCTGATGCGCCCACGTTGCTGGTTCACAGCGGCAAAACTGCGCCAGAAACCAACGGCAGAAACATGGGCTTGAAAGCAGCCGTTCATAACGCCCTTTTTCCCATCCGCCACCCGCCAATCATCTCGTCTCATTGCTTTTTGACCCTTCCAGATCAACCCCTGGGCTTAGTCATTCACTGAAACCGCGAAAAATCACGCTGTCGCCTGCTGACCGCCCCGAAGACATATTTAAGAATACGCCTTCTTCGCCCCCTGCTTCTTGACTTGCTCTCTTTTTCTTCCCTTTTACTACTACTCAATCCAGCCAGCGACGCGCCACATCTGCCATCAGCTCCGCGGGTCGTTTTTATCAACTTTTTATCTAATTTCTTATCATCTTATCTTTGAATTTTATTTTACAATATGACTGGACGTAAGTATTATCCTTGATATGTTTTTTTCCCTTCTGTCGTGCTTATCATTCTTGGTTGTTGATGGCTTGCGGTTGAGATGGGTAATGATGATACGTGGGTGGATGCACGTGACATCTTACCACTGCCTTAGGCCAATGCGTCATCTGTGCAGTACCCTGTATCCGTCTCACCTCGACATTGACAGCCATTACGCTATCTTTATCTCTTTGAAGTCAACAGTGACTAATAATCATGTCCTACAGGCGGCAAAGGAGGCAAGGGTCTTGGCAAGGGTGGTGCTAAGCGTCACCGTAAAATCTTGCGTGACAACATCCAGGGCATTACCAAGCCCGCTATCCGCCGTCTCGCCCGTCGTGGTGGTGTCAAGCGTATCTCCGCCATGATCTACGAGGAGACCCGTGGTGTCCTCAAGTCCTTCCTCGAGTCGGTCATCCGTGATGCCGTCACCTACACTGAACACGCCAAGCGTAAGACCGTCACCTCGCTCGATGTCGTCTACGCCCTCAAGCGCCAGGGCCGTACCCTCTACGGTTTCGGTGGCTAAACGTTTACGCTTTGCTATTCGTCATCACATCGAGTCCCGAGTTCCGGCTCCGATTCACTTGGCTTTCTCCGACCGCTGCTGTGTCTGGTTGAGTGCTTGGTGACGGTCGATTGGGGGGAAAGCCCGGAGACTTGTATATTGACTTCATGCGTTTATGCTGTGATGCTTTTCTGGATCTTTGAGGTTTATGGGGTTTCAATGGGGTTTGGAATGGGCTAGTTTGATCTTGACAATCTTCTGCTGGTTTTATCATATGGGCTTGGAGGACCGGCTGGTTTGGGTCTTTTTTTAACTGCAGTGAATTGTGAATTCCTCGCTTCTTGGGGCTAGTGAATACAATCAATTTCACTGAGGATGAATTGTCCTGATTCTGTAAGTCATACGGAGTAGTGTAGCATGCCATTGAAAGGATTCCAGACAGATCACATGGTGTAATCTGCGACCGCTTATCGTGCACGGACCAACACGTGCGCATGACGTTATCCGCCCTGCGCTCCCTCTGCATGGCCGTTGGACCTCGGTCTTTCGCTAGAGTTAAATCATGATATGACGGCTCGGACTTGGTGTGGCTGTCATAAATCGGACAGCTCCATCTCCTGCTTTGTTAATGGGAACAGCAGGACCTGACGTTGTCAATCGGACTTACCTACACAGTACATATCCAACAGACCATAAGGCTAACACATGTGGTCGATATTCCTGACGAGCTATCAATTGACTTGCCAACGATTCTGTTCATCTCATCATTGATTAATTGCTGCTCTGTTTCTTAACCGCTAAAAGCATGTCAGAGTATAAAGTCGCCTACGAGTCTGAACTGGTACGTCTGTTTTTGTTGATCTACAGGACCCGGAATGCAGCTCTTTTAATAGCACGTGAGGATTACTGACTGGGTGGCACTGGGTAGGACTCATATCAACTGTACTATAGATATGATAATCCGCCACCGGAGAAGGACTGGAAGAGAGCTGCACTACGTGGTCCCGCTTTGCCTGCCGTGGGTAATGCAGTCGCGGGGGCCGTGGGAGCGGCTATATCCAACGTTGTCACGTACCCGCTCAGTCTGATTGTGACTCGACTACAGACGCAGGCACAACAAAGGACGAAGAAAAAGAACAAGACGGAAACCGAGGACGTGGACGAGGAAGAAGAAGAAGAGGAGTACACCGATGTGCTTGACGCAGCACGCAAGATCTACGCCAAAGAGGGCCTGGGGAGTTTCTACACGGGTCTTGCGCAGGATACGGCCAAGACAGTTGCGGACTCGTTTCTGTTTTTCCTTGCGTATGGATTTTTCAGGCAGCGGAGGATCAGGGCTCGGTATGGCGATGGGCGGCGGTCGAAGCATGTCGTTCTTCCGATTCTCGATGAGTTGGCGATCGGTGTGCTGGCCGGCGCGTTTGCGAAGCTCTTTACCACGCCACTTGCTAATATCGTGGCGAGGAAGCAGGCGGCGTCTGGGAAAAAAGCTCTTTCGACGAAGGATATCGCTGCGCGGATCAAGACGGAAAAAGGGCTGAGGGGGTTCTGGTCCGGGTATTCTGCGTCGCTCATTCTCACGCTGAATCCGTCCATCACTTTCTTCCTGAATGAGGTCCTGAAGTATGCACTTTTGTCGCGGAATAAGCGGGGAAGACCGTCGCCAGCGACGACTTTCCTTTTAGCTGCCATCAGCAAGTCCGCTGCATCGTCGATCACATACCCGTTTTCCATGGCCAAGACAAGAGCGCAGGTCGATAGCTCGGGGAATATCGAGAAATCGAGTAGTAAGAGTGTCTCTGAGGACGGGATTTCGTTTGCACCTCAGATCATTATGGATGTGCTGGCTATTGCACGCAACGAGGGTGTTTCCGCGCTGTATGCGGGCCTCCCCGGGGAAGTTCTCAAGGGTTTCTTCTCGCATGGCTTTACCATGCTAGCAAAGGATGCTGTCTATTCACTCATCGTGCAGAGCTACTATCTTCTTCTTATTATCTTGAGGAGGTATCCTACGCCCGAAGAACTGATCCAGCGCGCGCGCGAACAGGCCGAGGAATTCGCTGAAGCCGCCCGAGAGGGTGCGCGAGACCTGGCAGAGAAAGCTAAGGAAGGTGCCGAGGAGATGCTTGAGCACCATCCGGGTCATGTCTCTGTGGATACGGCTTCGAATGCTGGATCTTCCGGTGTGGATGCCTCAACTGGATACCGCGTTGGCTCTGATGGGCCGTGGTCTGATACTAACCCGACCGCAGAGTTGGTGAGAGATTACGTGGAGGATGAGACGACAGAGTGGAAGGGTATGTACCGTTGGTTCTGGGAGAAAACGAAGCATGAACAAGACTGAGTTTGTTGGCTTGTTTGTCGATTTCTTACAATTGCGGTGTACGAGAACAGTGTCCGATGTTTCATGGATGATGAGCGTAGCATTATCTGATTACATGGCATAAGTAATTTCAACTTAGCGTACAAATTTATTGATGGTTTCAAGAGTAATGAATCCTTCTTATGAGTTCTAAGAATAGCGTACACTATCCAAGATCTCTCACCCTTCAGTGGGGCCTTGACTCGCCGAGATCCACGGGACGCACCATCGCATCCAGCCCGACTGTTTACTTTTTCCCCTCATCAATAATATCTATCGATCCGCTACCGATCTCTCCATATGCTACAGAACTGATCTGGGGTGACCTCCTTCCTCATTTCTCATGTCAAACGAGTCTCGCGGGGGTCCTGGATTGCAGGACCTCGAGAAAGAACTGACTTGCTCGGTATGTACTCTGCATAATCATGCTGCTTCTTGCGTCATTTGATCGGGATCTTATCGACGGGTGGGATGGGATACCCACGAGGACCACAACATCAAACCCCTCTCCTTCGATCGTCGGCCTCGTGTTGGCGGTGGATAATCTGATAGTATTTGACAGATCAATATGGGCGATCTCGAAATTGCTTACTTGACCTCTCACTGACTGACCCCGAACAATCTATAGATCTGTACAGAACTGCTCTACCAGCCCCTCACCCTCCTAAACTGCCTACACACGTTCTGCGGTTCGTGCTTGAAAGAATGGTTTGCTGCGCAGGCATCCCGTCGTCGGCCGTCTTCATCCACCCCGCAATTCACCTGCCCTGCCTGTCGGGCCGTAGTGCGCGATACACGACCCAATGCCACTGTCACGACGCTGTTGGACATGGTCCTGGCAGCCAACCCTGAGCGCGTCAAGTCAGCCGAGGAGAAGGAGGAGATTGCTCAGAAATACAAGCATGGCGAGTCGGTGTTTCCTGTGCTTTCGTCTCCGGAACATGGTATGGTGTCGGACAACGAAGATCGACGGTTGCTGGAGGAGGTTCGTGAATTGAGTTTGCGAGAGAGCAGGATGGGGACAGGACAATCTTCAAGAAGCAGGCAAGCCGAGGGCGTTGACGCTGATGGACGGAGAGCGGACGGTCGCTCAAGACGACGGCGTGAGGAGGAGCGTGTACTGCGCCGACAGCCTGGGGCCCCTACGGAAGATAACTCGGAGAGAACGAGGCGGATCGAGCATCAGTCCAGTCTGCGATCACTGCTTAGCTTGTCTGATACCGAAACGATGGAAGAGGAGATCCTGCGACAGATCATCGAAGACGGACTGCTGAATGGTATTGACCTGGACAATCTTGGGCCGGCGCAGGAAGAGGAGTTGACTGAGCGCATCGCCGATGCTTATCGCCGAAGACACATGCGACGGCCGCGCTCACGGCAGAGACAACAGGCGGATGAGGCATCACAAGCGTCGCCGCGACCGCGTGCGAGATCACAATCTGTGCAGAGACCACCGACGTCGTCCGCTCCACAACCATCCTCGAGGAATCCACCCGTGTCAAGGCCGTATCTGCTGGAGCCACTTGTCTCGCGCTCGGAGGGTTCTAATCATCAGCGGCGTCTTTCGGATCAGGGGACGAGGAGGAGGAGGACGTCACCGGCTCCTGTCAATGCGGCGTCCACATCGGAAGACACGTTGCGACCTGCTGCGAGGTCGTCCAGCGATATAGCTTCGGATCGTCCTCGTCCTTCTCAGTCCTCCCGAGCTCGCGCGGCCGAATTGTCAACTGCTCCGAGGCCCCGACGGGCAACAGCGTCGGAGCAGAATGTCCCGAATATATTCACCCCAGAAGCTAGGAACCGCGATCATCGGCAACATGTCTCGGGCAGACCACTCAATATCTCGCCTGCGTCGGTAGCTTCACCGAGCACACCGAATAATTCTTTTTCTGCGCGCTTAGAACAGACCACAGCCGGATCACCGGTCTGTAGTTCTCTAGCACCGGCCGTAAGCAGTCCTGCCAACCAACGCTCTCGACCTTCCTCTTCTCGATCCCACGCCACTCAACGTCCTTCAGCAACTTTCACCGAACCTTCCATCTCTTGCGACCGGTGTGGCAAGCAGAATGTCCAATATGAGCTTCACAAAAGATGTCTACAATGCAAAGATGGAAACTTCCATTTATGCTTGCGGTGCTATCGTCTCGGCCGCGGCTGTTTGCAATGGGCGGGTTTCGGTCCGTCTGCAGAAGTGAATTTTGACAGAATGCTTGCCTCCTCGACCGGTCGGCCTATGCCATCGCGCGAGATAGCGCATGTCTTGCAATTTTCCAGATATCCACGGCCCGCTGAGAACGTCCATCGCACAAGTGGCGGAACAGAGATGACTAGCGACGATCCAGCCCAGAGGTTACAAACAGGACTATTCTGCGACATCTGCCACGCTGTGGCAAACAAATGCTACTGGAAATGCAACGAATGCAACCAGGGGGACTGGGGCTTCTGCAATAAATGCGTTAACCAAGGACGATGCTGCACGCACGCGCTTCTACCTGTCTGTCGACTTGCGCTTGGGGATCGCTCGAGCGTACCAGTACCGGCTGGTAGTGACTCGACTGATGGACCTAACCATCCATCCGCTCCTTCTACTACCGCCGATACTGGGAACGAGATATACAGGATCCTCTCTTTCTCAACCAAGTGTGACATCTGTACATACCCCATCCCAGCGTCAGCCACGAGGTTCCACTGTCTCGAATGCAATGAGGGCGACTACGACGTCTGCGCAAACTGCTACCTCAAACTCGTCGCCACAGGCAAAATCAGCAAGGAAAACGGTCACAATGGTTGGCGCCGTTGTGTCAGAGGCCACCGCATGGTTGTTGTCGGCTTCGAAGACCGCAACGAAGGCCAAAGAAGGGTCGTCGTGCGCGACCTCGTCGGCGGCCGCGCCCTTAAAGACGAACACGCAGCCGCCGTCCCATCCCCTGAAGTCGGAACCGGCGACTGGAGCTGGAAGGAAGGGTCTGAGCGGCGAAAGAAAGCCTCTCGCGTGCGAACCCCCTGGACAACCACCAACAATGACCGCAGCAACTCATTCCCAATCAGTGCCGCTGGTGGCAGCGGATCAGGCTCGGGCTCGGGCCCCAACTCCGAAACAGCCACGCCTACCAATTCCCATTCACCAGCGTTCCTGCGCCGCTTCCCGCCCGACGGTGGAATCGGCCTCATCGTCCATGCCCTCTGGTCGTGGTATCCCGAGGACGATGTCCAGGATGAACTGATGTTTCCGCGCGGGGCGGAGATCACGGAGGTTGAGAACATCAACGACGATTGGTTTTGGGGCTGCTATGCTGGTCAGACGGGACTGTTTCCCGGATCGCATGTTATTGTCGTTGGGGAGATTGTCTAGTTTGTATGTTTTGTCATGGAAATGGCGTGTATGATCTGCTTATTCGAGTATTGCATGGGAAACGACTTATGATTGATGTGTGATGTGTAATGTGAACATAATGCGACGGAAACATGGAATTTATGCGAGCTTTGCATTTCATCGAGCTGTATTGCATGGTTTTCTCTAGCTAGGACTATCTCCATTTGAGCAACGATCCGGTTGCTCAATCATATCGTATCTCAATCATGACGGGCCTGTAACCGCCGAAACACATCAAGCCATAAAACGTATCATCGTGGTATCACAAGAAGTAGCAAACCAGCATGACAACAAATCAAAAACCCACCCAGTAATAAACATTAGAACGACAGTAAAAGAATCGACGAAGAATCTTGATCACTCAAGCAACGCAACCATTAATTTCTGATAATCCCCGCTAGTCTCTCCGCGGACTCTGGCGATGAGATCTTTCTTGTACCGATGGTGGTACGCGCGCTTGACTTGGTCCAGATGCTGTCTGTTCCAATGCACGCGCACAACCCGCACAACCAGCTTCTCATCCTTGGTTCCCATTCCCTTCATGCAGTCCTCGAGGAGGTCAGCGTCCCGCATGGCCGGATCCAGCGCGGTGCGGAGCATATGCAGCAGGGCGTCTTTCATATGCCCGGAGAATTCCTTCTCGATGTGGCTCTCCAGCGACGAGTTGTACCGAGCGCTGAAAGCCTGGCTGATAGCGCGGAGCTCCGGGTCCGACGCGCGGGCGAAGATACCGCAGACTTCGTCGACGTTGTTGACGACGCGGCCGCTGGTTGCGGCGTGGATGGCGCGGGCTTCCTGCTCGATGACCTGGGGGTTGATCGGGTAGGAGGGTTCGTGGCGGTCTGCGCGGAGGACGAGGGAGAAGAGGGAGCGGGTTTTGAAGGAGAGGTCGGCTTCGACGTCCTTTTGGAGGGAGCGGTGGAAGGTGTGCTCGTAGGCGGCCTTGATGGCGTTGAGGTCGGCGTTTGAGCGGCCCAGGACGACATCGTTCAAGAGCCATTCCTTTGTGCCGAGGCCTTGGACTGCTTCGCGGGCGGACTGCACGTCGTGCAGGAGCGGCCCGTCGATGATGGCGAGCAGGGCCTGGCGGAAGTAGCTGCTTGTTTCGGACTTGACGTCCTTGTAGAGGTCCCGGCGGTGATGGTTGGTGTAGGTGGACCGGACGGCGGCCATTTGCAGGGGGTCGAGTTTAGACAGTACTTGGATGAGCGTCTTCTCGTCAGTACCGAACCCTTTCATCGCTTTGCGGAGGAGGTCTGCTTCGCGGCGGAAGTCGCCCGGTGCCATCTGACCAGGAACGTAACCCAGAGAAGGCATGGCGGGTGGGCCTTGGAACTGTTGCGGTGGTGGTGCGGGATAGCTGCTCCCTCCTACCGGCGGGGCGCCATAGGGTCCGGGTTGGGGATACCCGCCCGCAGGCGGAGGGTATCCAGGAACGCCTTGTGGAGGGTACGGAGGTTGCGAAGGAGCGCCATATGGAGGCTGAGGCGGCGGCGAATGGGGATATCCTGGTCCGGGAGCCGGAGGATATCCGCCTGGCGACGGGGCAGGCGGAGGTGGTCGATTATAATGGCCCTGAGGAGGGGGCGGACCGCCGTAACCCGGTTGTTGGGGGTAGGGCGGTTGTGAAAATCCTTGAGGAGCCCCGTACTGAGGGTAGGGGGGTTCTGCAGAGGGGTCAGTCAGTCTATCCAGCTATAATAGGCAGCAGAATTCTGGTAGGGATGCGGGGGCATACGATTTGGTGGGGGGTATTGGTTGTATGACATAGTCGGATTTCTTTCGGTTTGTGGACTGTATGTCAAGAATTCTGAAGATTTGACAAAGGAAAGGGAGTAATCGAAAGTAAAGCGAATGAGGGACAATGGTCAACTTATATGATGAAGTTAGTTCCTCTCTACGGGGTACATCTTCGTCATATGTCGGCTGTGCTCTTGGAATTTGCCTGAGATCCATGGCACCAAGGCAGTAAGTAATGTGGCGCAAGCAAGGCTGAGGCGCTTAGTCAGGTGGGCCGCTCCACAAATCGGCCATATAGGGCTGAATCTGTACGGGTTGAGGGCGTAGATTTCCTTGGCTGTTCGATTACCTCTCTAGAGGGGCAATAGATATTTAATTAGATGAACACGAAGTCAATCTGTTTGGCCGATGATCAACTCAGCAATCCCCTGATACATGAGACGCGGATGGAGTTGTTCCTTCCAGGCTCCAGCCATCGACCAGGGCCAATTCGCTCCGCACCCGGAGCGATCTTAGAGTCCGCCTTGTATTGTCGTTTGACAATAACTCCGTACCATGCTCAGGTACGCGCCTAGCGAGCTCTTTGCGGATCGCAGGTTGCGACTGGGACAAACAACTTACATAAAGCCCGCCATATATAGATAGTATCGACGTATACTCAACATCGAACGTCTCATAAAGAACTAGGGGTGAGTCTCCATTGCGACCCTAAACCATGGATGAGAAACTATATCTGGATATATGCAATCAAACAGGCATCAAAATTCTGTCCTTCGTCTCATTGCTGCTCATGTACTCCGTATTCTGTGCATTTGTCCAAGACCAAAGCAGTCGTTTACCTGGTCTTCCGGCCCTCATCAGCCTTCTCTGCCGTCACAAAAGCCGCTCGCAGCTCTTTGCCAGCCTCCCAAAGCACCCAGAGCGGAATCCACACCCACAAGGTGTTAAAGAAGAAGAGGTAAAACCAGAGGTACACAGGATTACTGGTATCCAACTGGGAACTTCCCGTCAACCATTCCGGCGCAAATGTCATAAAACCCCCGTACAGCTCAGCCGTCGCCAGCGCAGGCGCAACCAGCCACAATCTCGCCTTAGCCGCGCCCTTTGCCGACGCAGTCGACCGGCTGCTCGATGCTTTCCAAAGCAAGTAGCACACATACACGGCCGCGGGGCCGCCAAGAAATACAGTCAAGAGCTCAATAGAGATGGTGGGAGCGTCTGCGACGGCCCAGCGACGGTCTGCTTTTGCGTATTCCTGCCATAGTCGAGCACTTGGGCCTGTTCCGTAGGCTGCGCCGTATACGCGGTCCTTGTGGCCTAGGAAGTATGGCTCTTTGCTAACGCCGGCGGGGAGCGTGGCGTAGCTGTAGAAGCACTCGTATAGGAACGATCCTTCGATGAAGATGTGGGTTAAGGCATCGTAGGCGTGCCAGTAGAAGAGTATCCGGTTGCGCGTTTGAGAAGATGGTATCAGTGCCCTGCCGAGCAGGTAGGCGATAGGCATGAATGATAGGGTAAAGCCGATACAGAGTAACGTCGGGACGTCGAGGGTGAAAGGAATGGTGGAAGACATGGCTATCGTCTATCACTGTAGGTCTCTTTGAGGTAGAGTAGGTTGCAGAACGAAATGAAGTGCAGTCTGTAGATTAACGGACGGTATTTCAAGTGAGCAGAGCTTTTATTGAAGGATCACATTGAGATTGTCCAGTCTGTGATAGATGGATTGAAGAGTGAGTCTAGTGAGAACAAATCAACAACCCCTGATTTTGAAACACTAGTCGCAACGGGACTATGACGTGGATGCCTTAGGCATACTTACTACGGAAATTATCTCCACGCCCTTCGTCGACCTTGAACAATTCGCACCATGATGGTATGTATGTATTTATATTATTTGAAAGTGATGGCATGGATGGAATCTTTCCATTAGTGATTTGATCTGGACTTCATTTCCATTCAGAGATTCTTACAGCCATCAAGCTTTCAAGGACCGGCTCCACCTTCCAGCGCCATGTTTATACCAGATCATTCTTCAGGAACGTCCATGAACTGATGATGCTTTAGCCCAAGGGGATTATACCTTCAATTTAGCAGTCCTAGCACAATTAATCCCCAGTGCTTGATCGCAAATTGCAAAAACAAAAAAAGTAGTCACGCCCGGGATCGAACCGGGAACCTTCTCGGTATCCTTGAAGAAGCTCACTTTGATTGTGAACGAGAAATCATAACCATTAGACCACGTGACTGGTTCTGGTTCTTGTTGGAAGCTTATTGATATTACCCTTCATAAGCGAACTTGCTATAGATGAACCATGATTGCTTCTAATCAAGAAATTCCTTGTTTTGATATTGGAAACCACACATGTGACGAGATGCCACGACTCTTCTCCCGTCCATCATCCGCTGACTGTACTACCCTTGCGGTCGCAAGTCCAAATGATCTAGGACACATCCAGCAAGCTGGCCTATCAACTATTGATATAGGTCCGGGGAATCGGTCACAGCTTCTCATGATGTCACCGAATCTGAAGCTGCATCTGTCCTGAATATCGTCTGCAGTCGGACAGTCGCCTGCCACTCAGACGTTGCTCAGTACGCCACAGATGATCGTCTGTTACCCAGATCCGGGCCCCTGCTGCCTACCCGTTCCGTGACTCAATTCGGGGCCCCTCTGCGCCCTGTGATCACGAATGGAGATTTACCCTGACAGTATGAACAGCCATAGAGCTTGCCCAGGCTAGAGTAGACTGGTTTTGTGTTCACTATAAATTAGTCACCGGGCGACTCCCTGCTCACGCCTTCTGACGCGTGCGCCCTTCCCGTGGTGGCCTCATGATCATTTCCAGAGGGCGGAGCTCTATAAAGTCAGATATAAGGCAGGCTGAAGCCTGAATTAGAAATCTGGCCATTTGGCTTCTGTGATATTATTGGGAGGATCCGGATGGCTATCTTTTGTCTCTCGTTAAGGAGGAAGTAGAGAGATACTTGGTCCATTCCACATTTCTCTGATACATTTTCTGCATAGGGAGCATAGCATTTATCGTTCTACAAAGAAAGAAAGTCTTTGTTTACTCTGGTTTTTTTAACATGCCACACCTGCGTCACCATCGAAGACGCCACTCCTGGCCCTTTGGCAGTCCAGCCGCGCAGCTGCGCGAAAGAAGAATCGCCCGGAATTCCAGCGCACTAGATCCGTCAACGCTCGCGGAGCTCGAAGAACACTACCTGGCACCCATCGTCTCCGAAGATGTACCGGAAGATGATGCTGCATCTGCCGGCATTGTGCGGACGAAGACGATGCGGTCCCACCGGTGGTTTGCTTCGAAGCACGCCGTCCGACATCATACATCCTCGCAGAGGAGTGCTACGACGAGCAGCGGCACAGGCTCGCTACGACGGATGATTCGTCCGCCTCTGGATAAGGCTCGATCGCTGTTCGTTTTGCCTACAACTACTTCGGCTGGGAAACAGGTGGTGGTCTCAGTTTGGGTGCCTCAAGCGGCTGAGACACAACCAGCTGATATGTTTGCTGATCGGGGGAGAAAAACAACAGCCGTTGACGATTCTGATTACTTGGCGGCTGAGAGGAATCATCGGAGGTGTCATTCGGAGCAGCCGCGGTCATGGAGGGCGCCAAGCGCGAGTCTGTGGACACTTTTGGAGGAGTGATTGCTGAGATTTCGGGTGCTCCTGGCGTTTGGTGTAGTTGCTTCTTTAGTCTTCATGGTTTTGAATACTAGTGAATTGACCCTCACTCTCACTCCAAAATATAGCTATTTCTGGAACATGGCAGGCCGAGGATTGCTCTACACTGTTATAGAGCAAATATGCATAGTCTTAATTGATGTGAGTTGTTGCATTGTTTATCTTAAGGGGGCATGGGGAGTATGTGTCCGCCGTGCTAGGATAGTATATGCAGAGTATTGTATGCGTAAGCACTGATATTGCCTCTGTTGGCTCCAAGTCCTTCAATCACACCTTGAATATCGTCCCACAAAACCCAACCATATTCAAAGGCACTACCAGCACCAATCTCGATCCATTAGTGAAACATCAAGCGCCAGGATTAGAATTTAGATGTGTGTGGTCAATCTCTGGCGGGGGATTGAATGAACCTTATTCACGAAATCTAACCCAGGTGATCTCAGGCCATAGTTCCTATTAGCTATTAGCGCATTGGTATCTTTTTTTCCTGGGGCAATGATCGGAACAAATGTGCCGAGGAGAAGCACTCTGACTGTTTAACTTGGCAGGCAATCAGGTGATGTCATATGAGTGCAAATTACCAAGTAGCTAGAGAATTAGAGCCTCAAGTGTGGAGACGTTCATTTCTTTTTGCACTTCTGTTCTTGGCAGCTGCTCACTCGGCAGTAGACACAGACTAGTAGCAGCAGTAATCGTGTGTCCTGGCTTCAAAATTTGGTGCATGCCGCTAATCACTGTCCTTCAGTTGGTTGCTCGAGCCTTGAGGAGGTCTGCATAGTCAACCGAGTCAGACTCTGAAACGTGTCAGACAGCCGGGCTACTCCCTTCAGTCGAGAAATGTTTCTACCTTGAAGTCACCGAGTCATCCTGGGCTAATCCTACACTAACGCATAGCCCGCATAGAATAATGGGTAGGCTCCTCCTCCCATTCGGCCAGTTGCAATGCAAGAATTACCCTCTCGTGGGGGCCAGATGATGTGATTGGACCATTGAGTTGCCCGATATCCTTCTCGAAGCACGCTAGAACGGCCCTACCACCCTGGGCAGGTCTCAGCTGCTTAGGCCTTCTCAGAGGGTTTGTTTGACATGTGGGGAAGTGAAAGGGAAACGATGACTGAGGGATGTTCATTCTAAAAGAGGATTTGAGCGGAACTCAATCATTGACAGCGGAGGTGAAGTGATACGTGTCGTATCCAAGGTTTGGCACTCTTTATCATCATCCATTCACGAAGGTCGAATAATTACCAAGTGACACTGCTGTCGATGATTCAGGTCACCAGGCAGAAGCGGTGAATTTGGCCCTTCTGGGGAATCAATCTGCAGGTGTCGAAATGGTGATTGGCTCTTCGTCAACCTTGTAGGGCAGAGTGAGTGGGGCCAGCCGAGAATCTCACCGACTCTGGAAAGTCAGAATCGTTGGCAGCTCTTGATTCGTCAATGGGAGCAGGGACCCGGTGCCCCAGGAAATGTCAGTCCCGTCCTCATGGCTCGATGATTGGACGACGGGGAGGGAGAAGATAGGTAATGGAAGTTGAGTGTCCGGAGTACACCGTAAGAGGATGTCGATGCTGGAGCTGAAAGACATAAATATGACTATCTGTCCGCCGCTTCGGTTAGTCTTTGTTCTCAACTCTTGATTCTCTTCTTCCAAGTTCAAAGTCCCAATCCGGGTAAAGACCTTACATACCTTTTGAAATTTTCCTGAATATGAAAGATCAGCACCGTGCTGGTCCCGCAGTAATCGAGCAGAACAATATCCATCGTCCGCTTTCTCACACAACCACTGTCTCCTCATCCGACTCCTCCCAAAGCGGCAACGCCACTGACAGTCCCCGCCAATCCTCCCACAGACTCTCCTTCCCATCTGGCGCAAGACTATTTCGCCCTCGTTCAAAGTCGCCCGCAGCAATTGGCACAGAGTTGCCGGTAAATCGTACTCGTCGCTCCACATCCGACAACTACGGCGAAACCATTCCTAGAAAGGTTCCTACTTCTAGTGACAATATCCCTCGACGTTCAACAAGCCCCACCGCAATGTCTCCCATCGAGCCCACCAGTCCAACTTCTGCTGATCTGCAGAAGCGCGACTCGGGATCATACAGCTCCCAGTCCAGAAAGAGCGGCGACGATTATCGTCGCTACAGCGGGACTGTGAACCACTACGGCCGTCATTCTAACGATTGGTTGTTCGGTGGGTTCAGTTTGCGGGACACCGTCCGAGAGGGCGTTGATCGCTTGCGTCATGGAAAAGAGAGCTGAGCGTCGCGTTCTTGGTATCATTTCTGCCTCTCCTTTGGTCCTCGACTTGAGACTGGGCCCCAATCAGTGTCACTGTTCAACAGCATCGTAGACATGACACGCACCGACGGACACTTGAACATACCAGCAGTGAACGGTATCCTCTTCGATAAGTCATCACTTTCTCGGAACAGTCCGAGCATCGAGGTCAAACACCGCAAGAAGCTCCATCAAACCGAGGATCTACTCCAGGCAATGCACGGCACCAGAGATTGGACATCCGAAAAAGAAACGCCACGCATTCGCTGTATCCATCTCGGCGTTCCGCCACTCAGTCGACGCGCACCTATGACTGGTCTTGGTTTGTCTTTATGATTGTGCATACTACTTTCAATTTCATTCAGTCAGCGACCTGGATCTGAAGAAAGTTTGAAACATAGTTAAATTGATTGTTAGAGCCCAGTGCATGGACCACATACCTTGCTCAGTAAGCCCGACCATCATCTATCACCACTGTAGAAACCAAGATAAAAGTCATCAACAACATCAACCATCCCACCAGCTGGAACCCATCTTTGAGATCCTGAAGCAGATTTCGGAATAATGTTCCATGAAACAGTAGTCAGGGTCACCACATCCACTTAGGGTTTTGACCTAGCCTGCAACCCTGGCGCCTTTCGTCCCGGTCTACTCCGTAGTTGCCAGTCATACGCAGATTGAGTTAAGGTAGCAAGTCAACAACCTGTTTTACAAACGTACAAAAATTTCAAAAACAGAAGGAGAGCACATTGAAGGCAAAATGGGTCAGGTAGTCGACCTTACTCTGCCTTGCATGAATTAGTTACCAGTAAGTGCTCCGTAAGCAAGTCAACTCTCAGCTCTCAGCTCCCCACCAGATCGACCACTAGGCGTGCCCGATCGTCTAGAAATCGCAGGTGACGCTCTTCAGGCCGATACTTCGATAATTTGCCAAGAACTCGACCCGCATATTTTATCTTCTTTTTTTCGATTTTCTAATCGTGATTGCTGGGTTCTTGTGCCGTAGCCTCTTCTACTGCAAGCACACGTGGGATGGGACCCGTCAATAGTCGGCAGCTCCCAAGCCCGAGTCCACACTCCGCAGGCGCAGCTTAGGGATTTGAAGCCTTAAGCATTCATTCACCGAGACAATTTACCGGTGTTCATTACGAGGGTACCGGCGGGAACGAGGGGGGGGAGTTTGATGAATTTAGTGGCTAATACCGTGTGTTATGGCCAATCTATGAATAAGAACTATCATTAAACAGTAGAATAAATATTGGTCCGGCAGGACGTCTCAGGGGTGATAACAAAAAAAGGGGGAATCATGGGATACTAGTCGACCCAAAAGGGAAACTTTGCAAATAAAATAGAATAAAACAAATAAATTTTGAAAACGCAGCAGAACGCCAGAGCCGAATAATCACGAAATTGCAGTTCTCCAGCTGTACTCCTTGTCCCATAAACAATAATGTGGCCCGCCCACTCCCCGCCCCCGTCAGGTTCGTGACTTGGAAGCGTCCGGCCGTGTAATCATGATAACCGTTGGATCTATGAAGGGTGATGTGGGAACAAGTCCCTCTATTGAGTGAGAGCCGAGAGATGCTCATGCCGCTCTCTGCCACGCGGCAATGTCAGCCGGTGTTATATCGATATTTTCCGCCGTCAAGGCCTGGAGCTTAGATATCTGCAAATGCGCTGGAACCGGTCAGTCGGTGGTCAAGATGAATATGCAGCGTTGTGCAAGGCCTCTGACGCAAATCCAAGGACAATACATACTTGGGCGTTGCACGGCTTCTGCTCCTGCATGGACATGAATGACCCCCGAGTCGACATACTCCTTTGTGGTGACTCCGCTGTGTGAGGCAGCACCGAGGATCACTCGAATTCGGTACCGACCTGGCTGCGCAATGCTCAGCGGGCTGAACTTGGCAAATCCGCTTGTCGTGTTCCCATTTCGACTGCGCACACTGGACGTTAGCGTCCCCGCCAGTCCGGTGGCCGCAGCCGTTCCCGTCTCGCTCCTGAGCGATGCGTGCGCAACCATGTGCTGAACTGCTGGGTTCACTAGGTTGCCCACGGGCCTGACTGCCACAATTACTGGCAGGGTAAATGGCGTCCCAGGACGAACAGCAGCCGGGGGCTCAATCTCAAATGTGATGCCGAACTCCCGACTGGAGCTTCCCCGGGAACTTCCTCCTTTGCTCTGAACCATTTTTGCAGGCCTCCCTTGTTAGAGATCGATGTGGTCTTTGTTATCGTACCGGACAGAGCAATTCGATGGAGTCAGCTCGGGCCCAACTTCAACAATGCAAGTAGCCTATATCTTTAGCCTGAAATGGGATATCAACGGTAGAAGGAATTTAACATAGCACAAGCAAGAGGATTGACCAGACAATTAATAGAGACAATGGCTCTTGAATTAGAAGCAAAAGGTAGGATAATAATGGGCTCCCGAGGGTGGTTCATATATGTTGAGTGCCGGCCTCATATAGATTGAACCCTACCGAAAAGGGCATCATAACATATTTCCAATTTGGAGGACAGTGCTGAATACTGTCTTAGCAGGTTTGCCACCGCAGACAAGGGAAAAAAAGCTAATCTCAATAGCTCCCTTGAAATGCAAGATTAGCGAGAATGTGGATCTGCGTGGTATTACAGTTATGTGCTGACGCTAGATAAGGGCCCGCAAGCTTGTCCCAGTGTTTACTGGATTTGGGTTCGCATGAATCGAACCCATAAGCATGAAATGAAAAATTCATCCTTCCTGCAATATGGGCATTTTGGGAAAGTGGAACCCACATCTGGGCCTCTCCTCTCCTGTTCTTCTAATCGTCTTCTCATTCGTTATATTATTCTCTGAACAGGTGGTGTTGTGCCTCTCTCCATATTTGTTTTTCTTGGCCTTGTGCTGGCACCATCTCCTCAAGCGAACGCCACTCTAACACCGCATTGAATTAACACGGATATAGTTTCCACAGCGCTAAAGCAACTGAGAATTCCCGGGAATCAAGCAGAGAGATGGATGGTAAGGTCGAGATGTCAGATCCGCTTCGGGGGGAGCCAATCGAATTGTGAAGCACAAGATGCAAATCCTAGCGCATCATGCGAGATCTATAACGCATTCCACGGGTATCTCGGACGCTAGCCTTTACATCCGTATTCGCAAACAGTAGACCATTGTATCAGTGGACCTCTGGGGAAGAGGTGGCTCATGCTTCACCCTTTGGACTTGAAGATGGATGGTCCATGAAGTTCCCTTTGCTTTTTTGTGGGCCCAGAGAGATACTCAATGCTGGAAAGGGACGAATGACGATACAAAGCTTGCATCCATCACGCGTTCTCGGAAGGATCATGCTTGTTCACTGTAGTGTGCGAGTCAACATGTTGTGGCAATCGCAGTGTTTCTACGAAACCAAGACGTTGGACATTCCGTCAAACAATGTACAGCGTGACGAAGAAATTTTCGATAGATAGACTTTCTTCGCTATCCAATGGAGTTCAGAACCTGGAGGAACGGACAACCGGGCTGGAACAAAGCACGTCCTAGTTTCCGCAGTGGTACACAAAGCTTTCCGTTCTTGTATCGGAGAACGGTCAGAAGGGATAGTCAACCAAGATAGTTGTTTACCAAAATCAGACGATTGCGCCAATTGAACTCAATCCCTGTAGCCTGGATGGGGAAGCAATCTCCATAATCAGATGGATCACAGTGCTTTGGGTAACAGGGACAATTTTGGACAGTGTTGGGCCAGTAACTTCGCCACACCTCCTTCCGGTTTAGTCCTTGCCACAAGCCACAGTTCCCCACTACAGCCTCACCCAGACTTCTAATAGCGGGGTTTTCTCTGCTTTTGTTTTTGTTGCATGTCTGTCTTCCATGGTCATCACCTTGCTGAATCGCGCTATTGGATGCAGTTGTCTCTTCCAAGCTCCCACATACTAAACCACTGCCTGTTTCCAACGTCGATCATTCCATACTTGCTTCTTTTGAACCTAAACTGTCATGAACTGCACTCCTCTCTACACGATTCCATCCCAGGATCCCCTGACCTTCCACGAGGTCACCAGTTGTTCCGACCAATCATTGACTACTGACCATCATATTAACAATATGGTCTAGATTGGCCATTATTTGCTTGATAAACTGCTATCATGATAGTGGTCCCCCGCAGCCCGCAACGGACTAGTGGAGTAAAACCCAGGGTTCAGGCTTCTCCTGCTGCGCGGTGTACAGGGACACAATATTCAGGTATTGCTCGTGAACAGTTGAGTCAAATCTCCATGACAGGAAACAGGACAAAGGAAGGCTCCTTGATCGACAGCCAACACAGTATGAAAAAGTTCGTTGGATCTGCATTGTCCCTCTGACAAGTTGTGGGGCATCCTCGTATTTGCTTTTCCTCTCATGCACGGTGCAATGCTCGATGCCGTGGAGCACTCCTTGACGACTTGAGACGAGATCTACCATCCATTCCGCATACAACCAATAGTTCTTTGTGGATCGCCGATTCAGCATGATAACACACAAGCCACCTGTGGCTGAAGTGGATCATGAACGGTCAAGTTGTGGCGGTGAAACCGAGGAATCCAGGATTCCTACAGGACTTTTCCCAGGAGGAAACATTGGTTCGGTCTCGCCTGGAGCTCTGGGCCTCATTCTACTGCTTTGTCCAGATCTGTAGTCTAATAGCGTGGTTGCTAGGCCAGCATAATGCCTCGTTGATGTCGTGTGATTACGCTTTGACTCTCATACTGGGCATCCAACAGGATGAACTCGCAAACGTCATCTGTCTCATGGATACAGTTTCCTAAACTTAGCCTTTCCGTGCCTTTGCGTCCTATTCCTCGTCTGCATTGCTGAGTTCGCAAGATCCGTCGGACTGGGACTATCCGCCCATGAGTTCTTGGGTCTCGAGACTCGCTTCAGCCTGTTCACCGCTTTATTCATTGACTTTAGCGTATGGAGAATCTATTTGGGATGATACAATGGTATCCGGCACGCGCTATCGCAATGCTCGAATGATTGTGGAGAATGTACTTGAGGATCTCCTACCAAAAGCGCAACTCGATCCTCGGAGCCTGAGACCGCATGGTTCCGGTTCTTCTAAATGAGGTTACACATCGACAAATGATCTTCTTGTTTTAGCAAATGTATCAATCTAACACAGTTGGCAAGTCTCGTAAATCGCAATATTGTCCGGTGGACTGCAAGGCATACCACAGCCCCAACTGGAACGCGCATCTCTTTGCGTAACCGAGTGAATTACATGTGCTTCGCCAGACCAGATCTGGCCCCAGAAAGACAGTGTTAAACTGCGGCTTTGCAGTCAGTCACAGAAGAAGTTTCTATCAGCCAAAAAGTACCACTACTGAGGTATGTACGTTGCAGGGGTGGCAGCACTTACTCCCGGCCGCAGTGATCCATTGCCCCGCCGAATGAGATGGTCCAGGAGGGCACGAGATCGTCGCCCGGTTGAACCGTGCGCTATAACAGACTCGCACTTGTGTCATGACTCGTAAGACCAACCTCAAAACAACAAAGTACCTTAATCCATCTCATCCTGTAAGAGGGACTCCAGCATTGGACAGGGCTGCTCATGCACCCCGTCCCAAATAGGGACAAAGTTTACAGACCACTAAAAGGAGGCGACTTATTTTCAGAGGACTGCGCTTAATTAGTGAGGCGGATCAGCAGCTAGTAAGTGTATCAACGTTACACAAAAAGCAAGGAACCTATGTCCTTGGCACAAGCCCTATGTTATCCCGAATGAGAGTATTGCCATACCCTACCGGAACCAAACCGCACAAAGCAGATGGGCAACGCTTGAGCTCCCGCATGTGCAAATGCTCACCTGACGGCCTTCAGTTCCACCATCAAAGAAGGCTTCTGCCAGATGATATACGATGTCTGATCATCCCAGTCGCGGTAGTCTTCATGGAGGGTCATGTCAAAGTTCCAGAGCAGCTTTGCAACGATGAGGCGCATTTCAGCATAAGCGAGACTGTATCGAGGGAACAAAAGCCCTTGTCAGTAATGAGTCGAGGCAGGAGAAAGTGCAGCAACATACTTCTTGCCTAGGCAGTTTCGAGGACCAAAGGAGAAGGGTTGCGAAGCCTCTCTGTTATCCGTTTCAAACCTACGATCCCTGTTTTCCAGCCAACGCTCAGGAATAAAAGATTCGGGCTCGGCGAAATTGGATTTCGCCCGAGAAGCCGAGAATGGTACTACAGATACAGAGACCTATCGAAGCGGTTAGCGGAAGGGATGTGTCAAATGATCTTCAAGACTTTGCGTACACCTCCGGGGACATATTGTCCATCAATGGAAGCTCCCCCCATCGGGACCTTTCTTGGAAGATATCCTGGCACAGGAGGATATAATCGTAAGCTTTCTTCGAGAACAGCGTGCAAGTACGGGAGTCTTGCCACTGAAAGGAAGGTGATATCGTCTTGCTTCTGAAAAGCTCCTCTGATTTCCTGGACGAGCTTATTGTACTTTTCAGGGTGTTTCAGGAGATAAAAAGTGCAGCCGGACAGCAAGGTAGCGGTTGTCTCACTCCCAGCAAGAATCAAAACACCTGCATTCGCTTCTATCTCCTGCCGCGTCATGCCTCGTTCGTCATTGTGTCTCAGAATGCAGGACATGAAGTCCGGTCTGCTAGTCTGCAGGTCAAGCCGACGACTGACTTTGTCCTTACTCATGCGCCAGTGCTCATTTCTCATTTTCGCAGCCTTCTTTGGGAGTAACCTTTTAACCAGCGATTCTAGCAACGGATAAAGATGAATGAGTCTCAGGTAGACGCTCATTTTCACACTTTGGAAAACCATCTTCACCCAGGGGTGGTAGCGATTGTCCCGGAGGCAATCGAACGGCTCCCCGAAGGCCAAATCGCCAATAATATCAAAGGTGGTGTAATTGTACCACTTCATCATATCGACCGTGCTTCGCGAAGCAGCGCATTCAGCACGTAGTTTCTCGACGAGAAGATCCACATAATGCTGTACGAGCGACTCCTGTTCTCTCATCGCTTTCTCGGAGAATGCATGCGACAATAGGCGCCGCTGTCTGGCGTGATCGGCGTCACCAGCTGTAAGTATATGCCCGCCGTTCGGGCTGGGGATATAGTACTCGGGATCCTTGATGAACGAACTGGCACCGTGTTTCCGGTGACCGTAGATGTCTTTCCAAGCGCTGGCGCTTCGGTACACCAGGGTGGAGGGCGAAATGCGCACAACATCGCCATACTGGTCATGCAGTTCCTTTAGCTTGGCATGTATTTCCCCTGAGATTGTCCACCAGATGTAGCATATATTCGAGCATGCCGCGAGCTTGGGACCAGGAAATTTCCGAAGCGGGTGTAGATAAATATTGTAGATAGCCTGCCCAAGCAGAACTGCTACCAGCTATTATACTCAAGGTCAGCTCAGCAGGACGCTTTCCAGTCAGGCAGTCTGTGGGTTAAGTGCACTCACTATGGATAGCACGATAGATATTGGACTCATCCTTTTCTATCCTATTTTAGGTCTGTCAGGAGTTTGCATCGTCCGGATCCTGATCCAGGATGGACACTGGCTTAAATAACTGGCCACGTACGAGTGCGCCGAGGTAGCATCACCGGGGCCCAGCTGTAGCAGTAGTGCTTCAGCTTATTCGCTTGTTGCTTCGAACCCTTGTGTGTGACATTGCTAGAGCTAAAGCCAGAGCTAGACTAGGTGCTTGATGGCTTGATAGACCGACCATGATGTCCGATGGGATGTCAAAGTGGGGTACCATTATGGCATAACTGTCTAGTGTCACAAGATATCCTCTCCACTTATGCACGATGTCATGACTCGTGAGGTTAGGTCGATTTCATAGCACGGCTGTAGCGGCCGGCTACAGGCAGTGGAGGCGAAATGGCGCATATTTTTATGCTTACGGCCAAAGACGTGGTGTTATCGCCGGACAAATCCGACGGAGATCAACGGATGGACATCCATACACTAGACTAAGATTTAGCGACGTTCTGAAAACGCATGGAAAAGAATTGTTGCATAAATATCGAATAGATACTTTCTATATGAATTAGGTCAACACAAAAGAGCTATCTATAGAGTTCAACCCCGCTTCATCCCTATATATATATATTTTGAAAGGTGATCTCAAGGTATATTAGAGGTAACTACTACTTCACGCGCAAGTATGAACCTGGCCTCGGCTAGAAGACTCTAGCGATGACCTACTTTCCATTCAATACAATCGCTTCAAGCTGATTCCCGCCGATCCTAGACCAGCGATGGCACGACCGATGGTCATGGCATTATTTTCACGAGCACATCGATCTGTTTCCTAAGCGCCATTGCATTGGCATGAACCTGGAGTATGCAGAAACGAAACTCATTCTCGCTTGACTGATGGTCTGGTTCACTCTGGAATCGCGGACGATGCATTTAATATCACCAAGCAGTGAGTCTAAATCATGTAGGAGAAACCACCCTGATATCTCACTTGAGCCGGGACCTAGAAGAGTAGACCTGCTGCAGTCCTCGAAGTAGAAAGGGAGACGGAAAGACACCTTCCTTCCATTTTGGGCTCCAACTGCTCTCTGCGCCCTCGCTCACGTGTCGTGACGTTGACTTTGACACCTGAGCTATCTCATGCAATATGGATGACTTCGCATCTAAGAACAGTATTGTTATCACGATGAACATCTGGCCGACGCTCGGTTATCTCTCAGATGGCGCCTGTCCTTCACACACGATACTATCAATCCTTTTCTGTTTCTCACTCTTTTAATAGCGCTCACGCACAACCAATACGGGTTACAAGGTACATTAGTTTGAGGGTACTGATCCAACTGTTTGTGGGAACTATCTGCATTTTCGTGCTCGCGGTTTTATTCTGGAAAATTGGGCAGTTCATTCGATTCCTCACGCGGGACCGAGTCATCAGGCAAGGAAAGACGGTTAACACTCGCTACGCGAGGACCTGGTATGGCTGGGTACCATTGCAACGACATGAGTTCCACAAGAGGCTTTTCCAAAAATGTTTCCAAAGATTGCATGACTGGATGGCGTGGAGATCATCCAAGGCCGACTTTCGCTGGGTCTGGTGGGATCCTGGCCAAAAGGAGCTGAAAAAGTACAAGGAAAGGCGACGATTCCTCAGGTGGGTGCCAAAATGCTTCAGAAGCTACGAATTCACGACGGCGGATGCCATCTGGAACCCTGGCCCTTCAGTTGGGCGTTGTCTGGCGCCTGGTGAAAATACAGCAGGACGTTCCTGCACAGAAAGGCGCAGTCTTTCAACTCAGAACCTGTGTATGGCTGTGCTCAAGTCATCAGAAAGACGGGATTTTCATAATGTATCATCGAGCCAGATGTCAATGTCCGATCGTTCTCAACTATCGCTGATTGCATCAAGACAACTGGATAGAAGACTCGAGGGAAACTCCACGACTGACACAATCCAACTCCGAGATCTCCGCATACTCTATAACCATGCTGGAATGCCCTTGCCATTGAATCATTCAATATACGTACGCAAAGGCAACCGTATGGTCCTGCTTTTCCCGAAGCGCAATATAGCGATGCGACAAAATCTTTCCATGCCATGTCTTTTGAGTACAGAACCCGGTCGTTCAAGGCTCGTCGATTGCTCAGAAGGATTTTATACTGGCCAGAATTTTGGACATGGGGAAGTTGGCTCTCGCTCGATTCAGAAGAGACCTCGTGCTCTTGCGTACCAGATGTGGTCGGCTCGCATGGAACTTCAAACGTCAAAATGCATTCGTTACAACCAGAGCCCGCTTCTCGGTCCTCCAGGGAGCCCCGAATCTGGACTTATTGGCAGTTTCTCCTCCGAACACGCTGCGTCTTTGGACTTGGTCCCAAGGACCTTTGGAAGAAGTATCGCCAATCCCTCCTCCGACGCAACCAGTCACGCCGTATCCATGAAACAACACGTTGATCATGACAGAGGCGACATGTCGGATGAAAGCGCACAAGATTCTGAAGCTGAACACCGACGTTGTAAGCCACAACTTCGCATCGATAATAGTTCACATCGAAGCGCAGAAGCCAGAGATTCGGGGCTCCAGGCTGCGTCTCCTGGCGCCGTTCAGAACTCTCCACGCTCAGATCGTGCAAAAAGACCGCGGAGCTTGGACGAAACTAACAAGAGCAAGAAGCTGCGGAAGAAACATCAAACAAAAGCTAGGCACCTGGCACATGGAAAGGAACCTTTACGAAGTCTAAGCACCTGGGAGGCGAGGCTAGCGCACGACCTGAATCGAAAATTGGAATGGCTCTTCGAACAGCTTAGTCCTGGTCGTAGGCCTTTTCACTTTGCCTTGCTTGCCAATCACTGGCTAAATAGAGAGACTTGGGTTGTACTCGATCCTATTTCACGGGTCCCCATTCAAGCAAGACGTCTTTGGGGAGATCCACGATCTAATTCTCCATATCCAATACCTTGCTGGGGGCCGAGACCCAAATATCCCGGGAGCCCTTGCAAAACAGCCAACAGACCTCATTTGGATTCCTGGAGGGTTGCTGTCAATCGCAATCGACGGGCGTCAGGACTTCAAGACGTCGTCAAGGGCCTCGCGTTACTTGCAGATTCCGCAGATGAACCACGGGATGGGAAAGTCGATCCAGCAAGCTGGATTCTTCGAAGGCCCCCGCAAGGCTTTGCAATGTCAACCACGCAGCAAGACGAGTACTACGAAGGAGGAGCAGGTTGGCAAGAGACCCTCGGTGACTGGCAAAGGGTGCGCCGTGGTTATCGAATCCGTAAAGCAATCTATGAAGGAAGGGCTAATCGAACTAGGATGAAGGAGATAGCGGTTGGACTTACCCGGTACTTCCAGGCCATAACAAATGAACCTTTGAACACTCCCAAAACAGCCGCCGCGTAAGAGGTACCAGCCGCCGGGCATTTCTTCAAGGCTTGCATCAGATACGGCGAAATTCGGAGAGGTTGACGAAGCGGTCTGTCGTCCATAGGCCAGATAGGTATCATATTGACTCTACCGGGAGAATTTCCACTCTCTTCACAGAGTGTTCTAGGTCCCAATTTATCATTTATTGTTCTACGCTTATGACAAAGATATCGTCTTGGTAAGAAACAAGATCTGTGTGTGTGTGAAATGTGCTCTCAAATTTGTATGAATGCATAGTAAGCCGAATTGAAAACCCATCGCAGTCATTGTGTAATTTCCCAATAGCCGAGAACTCCGATTTGCTTCCCTGTATCCTTTCTAGCTGAACCTCGACCTCCATCAGAGGATCTAGCCGATAAGGGCTGTGGTGTATTGTACAAACATTTTCAGCGGATTGTATGGACGGTTTTGAAGAGTATTGTGCGTCGAACTAGAGAACTTAGAAACCGGGAGGGTTCAAGCGCTGGCTGACTCTTGTCCACTTGGGCAGTTCTAAAAGCGAATTGTCAGCATCCTCATATATCGGCCTTGAGAACAGGTTAGTGACAGTGTCGAGACAAACGTACTGTGAATACCCTTCCGATAGGTCTTTTCCTTCTTATCGAACAGCGTGTACTTGTCCTTGGGCAACATCTCTTCCTCCCGAGGCATTTCCGCATACCACCGATCAACGGCTTTTGTGCTCTGGCCGTTTCGTCGCAAGGCGGCGCTCAGGGTGTCGACTACCCGGTCAACGGCGCGTAGACGCTTCCGTTGCCGTGCTTTTTGGGGCTGTGAAATACGCCATGGGATCTTCCTGTTCGTTCGCTCCCATTAGTCGTGTGCTTTATGGTAGTGAAAAAGGACAGAGGGGAAGAGCCACTGCAGAGGCTCCGTCAGGGGCATGGGGCGTACCAGAGAAGACCCGAGAAGAGCGGTGACGAGGCCTTGAACATCTTGACGGTATCCTGTCAAGTTGTTCGCTGAAAGTGCTGCAAGAATTGCACTGTCGCTGTCGGTGATGGGCAGACTCGGGGTGAAAATACTTGTATTCTGGAGGTTCGGAGGTGCTGGGTGGTCCGTGCTCGCCTCCGACCTCCGCGGCCGCAAAGCCAAAACCAAAGCCAATGAAGGCGTCTCTTGCTTTCACGCCGCTCGTCTCTGTCTGGGGGATTTATGTAGGTCTTCCTCCCCTCATTGCTCTTCAATCTTTCTTTGGCCCTTGTTGGCATTATCAAGTGCAGCAGTCTTTTGTTCTCGCTGCATCTGTTGTTTATCTACCTTTGTCCATGGATTCTTCTCGGTAGAGCTGTATACCATGTCCCGTTCTACGGATCGCAGCGCGACGGGCGATTGCCCTTCTCTTCCTTGGAGAGCGCTTTCGGCTACGACGATTTTCGGAGTCGCTGCATTATGCCGTTCGTTCTTGTACATGTGTAGTCGTCCGGAAATCAATGGCTTGGAGCCCTTTCTGGAATTACTTGAATCTCGACAGGATACGTCGCGAAGGACGAGGGGTTTGCTGACAGGTATCGATCCTCTTTACTCTACAAATTTTCTCTGCTTCTGTCTGATCGCTGCGCGGAGGTCAACTGCTGACATGGGATTGATTCGACAGTATCGAACCATATTAGCGTGTACGTACGTTACGATGCGCCTTGAAGCTTGAGGCGACACCCATCTGCGACTTCAACGAAGCTTACCGTTGTCGCTGACTCGAGCAGTATGGATGATCCGATCATGTGGGGAGCGATCCCGTTACGGTGGAATTTTGGACTTTCCTCGTCCAACAAGAGATGGGGCTTTGGCAGCCATGATATCTGTTATCAAAGCCGGTATGATGAAACAACACACTATCTGGTCATGGTGTTGCGGCTAACCAGCCGGACCTGAGTAGACCTCTAGCTCTCTTCTTCACGATGGGCCAAGTCCTACCCACACATCGACTAGCACATTCGCCCCATGGCGGGTTGGCGCAGCCAGCCGTGACCCAGGCTATCCGGTTGTTGTCGAAGGGGCCGTTCCCTCCAGATCCACATCTCCCGCCTCCTGAAAGACAGCACTGGAGCCTAGAGAACATCTGCGTCGATCCATTCTCGGATCTCCCTACGGCGTACACCACTACTGGAATGGACTCACATCTGGCACCGTCTGCCTACGCCTGCAACTCATACTCCTGGGTCCACATCTTTCCCGAGGGGAAAATACACCAGGCTCCGAACAAAACGATGCGTTATTTCAAGTGGGGCGTCGCTCGATTGATATTGGAAGCAAACGAGTGTCCTGACGTTGTCCCAATCTGGCTGGAGGGATTTGACCAGGTCATGCACGAAAGCCGTGGCTTTCCTCGATTTCTGCCCCGAGTAGGGAAGAACATTAGCATCACATTTGGAAAGAAGGTAGATTCCGAGGCTGTCTTTGGCGACATGAGAAGAAGATGGCGTGAGATTAAGGCAAAGGCCGAGATGGCGTCACCGGAGTCTCGCAACCTTCCCCTCGGGGTGCTTAGCGACGAACTGCTGCACGACGAAGAGGCGGTCGAGCTGCGAAAGGAGGTTACCAAGAAGGTCCGGGATCTTGTCTTGGAGGTAAGACGGACTAGAGGCCTCTCCGATGAAGACCCCAAACATGGTCTCGCGGAGACATGGATTGAAGAAGGTCCGCAACGAGAAGGCAAAATGAAAGATGAGTCGTGGGTAAGGGACATATGAGTCAGGCTCGCCTACTCTTTGTTCATTAGGTACATATGTAAGATTACGAATGGTCCGTGTACATAAAATTGAGGATATAGAACGTTGTTTAGCTGTTCCGGAGTCGAGTCCAGCCCTGTTCTCTTCTCCAGCTGAGGGGGACGAAATCATCCGCGGGTAGAAACTAAACCCCCCCCCCCCCCCCCCACCAGCTTCTCCAACGCCGCTCCGTCAACACCCCGCCTGCTTCTCGTTCCTCTCTGTTATCATATTCTCTATGCCCAAAAAGCATCACAAACACTCCTTCGCGAAGCCTGTCAGTCCCGCTCATCATACTTTACTCTCGTCCGGCCCTCGTAACCAAAATGAGCAGTTTCACGCTTCGCAGCCGTCGTCCTCAAGCACATCGACACCATCTGTCAACGACCTGATCAACCATCTCCGTCGCACGCAGGTTTCCCGCTCGCCTGAAGATGGCGCCGGCAGCCCAACCCGGGTTGTCGCTCCTCGATCGGTCCATCCGTCACTACGGAACTTGCTAGAGCTCCCTGAAACCCTGCCACCTCGTCCCCGCCCGGAAGTACGCCGCGTCGGAGTTACTGGACGACGGCTGAGGAGGACTCCCGGACCGCCGCCTCCCCAGAGCTGGCTCTTGGGGAGTCATGATAAGGATACATCGGGTGAAGATTTGAATGCTACAAATGCTGCGCGAGTAGAGAGGATTATATACCGGTTGGATCGGCTGCCGGGGACGACGTTCCCGCGCAAGTCGGACTTGTTGCACATGGTTCTGAAGACCATGGCGTCGCAATGGGCATGGCATATCGAATACGATGGGCAATTCCTGGCTGTGCTGCCCAGTCACGTTAAGATTTTGCTGCTGAGCTATATTGCTATCTATGCGGGAGACCAACCTCTGAAAGGGCTGATGCATGGGCTGGAGCCTCTGTTTGAGAAATTCAGTACCGATGGCCATGAGAGTGGTGATGCTGGGGATATAACCGAAGATGGCGACTCAGAGATCTTGCGTCTGGATTTGAGCAGTGCATTAGGGCGCTGGATGACTATAAAGCAGCTCTCACATGAACTTTTACTCTCGAACAAGTCAGGAGCAAGTCTTGTGCAAGGCAAGGCTAAAGAGCCCGTTCCGTCATCATGGGAAGAGGTCGATGACGAAGAAGATGAATTGACGGATGAAAGTCCTAATATGCCCATCCCCAAGGCATTAAGCCAGGGCCTTCGCTTCCAAAATCTTCGTTTCCTCTCCTTAGCGCACCCCAAACCCGCGGCTGCGAACTGGAACGCCCTTGTCGACCTTCTATCGCGTCTATCAACAATTACTCATCTCTCTTTGGCGCACTGGCCTTTACCAACAGTTACCCCGAACGCTATGGACGCGCGCATCAGGCATCCCACCCAACGATCCCTCACCTTCGCTTACGGCGGTACAGACTCTTACTCTGGAATGGAGAACAACTGGGCCGAAGCAGCTGCCATTCTGCGCAGACTCTCGCGCGTGACATATTGTCTGAAGTGGTTGGATCTCGAAGGCTGCGGCGATTGGATCCCTGCGTTGACTTGGGAAGGCGTCAGCCCGGACGGCGAGGCACTACCCTCGGGTCCCGAATGGAACGGATCTTGGAGGGATATCGAATATATTCGCCTAGGACCTGGGTGGCTCCCTCATGTTGACGACAGTGAGTTTGCCGTACCGCAAAGCGGCGCAGCTGAGCGACTGCCATCATCTCCATCGCGATCTCTTGCTTCGTCCATCCATGCGCCATCTCCCGCTCCGTCCGATACTCCGGACCTTCCGTGGGACGTTGAAGTCGAACGCATCAAGTACAGGCGAGAGAAGGAGTTGGAGTACTACCGAGAGACTCTACGTTCTGCGAAAGCGGTGCAGAGAAATATTCTGCAGCTTCGGCAGAGCGGACGAGGAAAGTGGGTGCATTTTTCTTTTGGCTTGGAGGGATTGGATGTCGGCATCCTTAAGAAATTTCTTGGGGCAGATTATCGAAGTTTTGTCTCATGATCTGCACCCGTTGCAGTGATATCGATTACAGCACATATACAGGAGCATTCCATAAGGATCAAATAATACATTAGACTGACGACTTTTTGAGAAGCCTGGCGGCGCCTTGCATGACACTTACGTCAATAGAAAATAACACTTGGTATCTATAGATTTAGAATCGCCCGTATGTACATGATTATGCAGCCATTTCAAACTTTTGTATTCCCTTCCAGATCTATCCTGAAAGACACATCCATCAACATACCCTATCACTTGCGACCCCGGTTGAAGGTCTTGAGCGGGTCCACCTTCCTCACGCCGGAGGGTTTCCGCCCCTTACCCTTACCCCGATTCTTCTCTCTAGCTTTGCGAATCCGATTGTCTCCAGATTTCCTGAAACCAACAAACCCAACGTCCTCGCTGGAGATGCCCTTCCTTCCCTTGCTCGGCATCAGATAATCCGGAATGTGTTTCAGATGTGGTTGAATCCGCGCTGCGCGAAGCTCGCCGTCATGGCGCAGTTGCTTGAGTTCTTCGGGGTTCTCTTCAAAGTGCCGCTTGAGCTTCTCGCTCTTGACCAGTTCCTGGCGGATTTCGCGCGCACGTGCTTCCTGGATGGCCAACCGTGTGACTGCGCGAAGGGCATCTGTCATACGATACCGGAAGGCATCGACCTGCTTCATCTCGAAATGGTAGGGTTTCACCTCGTGGCCGAGCTTGGCTTGTTTCTTGACGATCTTCGCCAATACGGACTCGTCGTGCTTGGCGGTTGGGAAACTGGTGGGCTTGTGTTTGCCGAATTCGTCCGCTGGGACGACGAATGACAGGGCCATGCCGGCTTTGCCGGCTCTTCCTGTACGGCCGATGCGGTGGGTGTAGGACTTGGAAGTGGTAGGGAGGTCGAAGTTTAGAACGCAGGCGACGTTCTGGAAGTCGATGCCGCGTGATATTCCGTAATCCTTGGCTTTTCCTGATGTCTTACGACGTTTCTCTGGGCGGGCAGATTTGCCGCTCTGTTCTGGTTCGTTATCCTCGTCTTCACTGGAGCCCATCTTGTCCTTGGCCTCATCGTCTCCGTCAGTGGCCTCCTTGGATTTCTTGGAAGATGTCCGCGATCCCATCACTTCTTGCTCATCAGCTGCAATGATGATATCGTAAACACCCTTGTTGAACTCCTGCACAACGTGAATCCGAGAATTGATTGGCAGCTCGGAATTGAGGACACAGCTTTTGATTCCAAATTGCTCGAGGAAGAGCTTGAGGCGATAACAACGGTCAATATCGCCAACAAAGATAATGACTTTGCCTTTAATCAACTGCAGTTTGAAAATGACGTAGGTCAGGAGGAACTTCTCATCTTCCGCGCACCTGCCACAATCGTTAGCCAGACGCCAAGCATTCTCAGTTAGAACAATCGATCATACCTAACGACAAACTGACTGATACCAGCACCCTCATCCTCCTTGTCTTCCAACTTCAGAATCACAGGACTCCGACAGAACAAGCCCTTCAGGGTATCAACTTCCGACGTGAGGGTTGCACTCATCAGGAATGTCTGCACACCGCGGGGAATCGCCTTCGCCAATGCATTGATATCCTCATCATAACCATACGAAAGAACCAGATCCGCTTCATCGATTACAAGGTGCGTCAAATGTTCCAATGACAAAGCCGAAGTACCCAGGTTGGCAATCACACGAGCGGGAGTGGATACAATCAGGTCCGGGTAATCGGCGAGCATTGTGCGCTGTACAGCATCGGAAACTTTCTGCGTAAGGTTCACGGAGCGAACATCTTTGCCGCAGAATGCAGAAAATTTGATGATAACACTCTGAACTTGTTCCGCAAGCTCTCGGGTGGGAACGAGGACGAGGCCAGTGGTAGCCTTTAACGAGGGATCGGCCTAGACAATCATGCGTTTTAGAACATTCGTCTTCTGGAATATGAGCCTAGGATAACGTACAGCTTTCTTCTGAAGGATCGTCTGTAAAATTGGGAGGACATAGGCCGCAGTCTTTCCAGACCCTGTCTTCGCACGGGCTGATTTCATTAGCGGCGTCAAACCATAGCACATACCGAAGCCTCTGTGCTTACCTAGAATATCCTTGCCCTCAAGCGCGAGCGGAATGGCCTTGGATTGAACGGGAGTAGGCTTCGTGAATTGTTCTCTGATCAAAGCTTGGCGCAGTCGGGGATCGAGATTGAGGCTTTCGAAATCGGTGTTGTCCGCATCTTTTGTCTCCTTTTCCTCTGCAACCTCGGTTGAAGGGACATCATTGGCATCAAGCTTGCGTTTCATTTTGACGACACAGAGTTCCAAAAGCCGTTGAGAAAGACCCTTGAAGCTGGCTTGATTGTAGGATATTGCAGACTGGAAAGTTTTCCTCGTTCGGGCGGTTTCAGAAATTCTGTCGGGCGGTGAGATTCCCGCGGCAGTATTTTCTCCACTATTTGCTCCTTTGATGGTGCCACTTCCGGCTAGCCTCATCCAACAATGATGTTGACATTTTTTTCGATGTTGTATTATTTACTTCTTCCTATCCCCTTCTTGATTGCTTAACAAAAGATAATTCAAAACAATTTGATTATGTCATATACTCATCTCAGACAGTTCAACAGGCGAAGATGCTTATGAAACACTGAAGTGATAGCAACATGAATCATGAAAATGGCCCGAAAAGGCAATCGCACATACAAATCTGCACTGGTGTGCTTCAAGCCGTATTCATAGACACTAAATGGCGTTGAGAACAAATTATTTTTACCTAGATCAAACTCTGTCGTTAATCTGGTATGCTGCAAATACGTATTCGGTGACAGTCACCCTTCCAGCCCAAAAAGAACTTGAAAAAGCGCGAACAAAAGAGCGAAGAATCAGGAAAAGAACCAGCAATAGAAAATCAGCTGCACTGGTTATCAGCTCGTGTACCGTATTTGTTGGGCTGGTGCTCCTAGAGCGGCAGAAGGCTGAGCAACGAGTAAACTTGATGAAATCGTATAGTGGATAGCACCGAAGTCTCGTTAGAGATCGTATTCGGGAATTACGCTCAGAAAGGAGCTGAAAGTTGGACACAGGGACAGTGTCCACCCCGAGCACCAAAAGCAAACAATCTTGACCGTATGGAAATCTTGCACTTGAAACATGTTGAAGCTGCATTAAATATCGAGTCTGAATTCATTACTCGCGTAGCCTCTGAATTTGACCATTGAGGTCCAGGATATCATCCCAACATGGCGCACTTTGACATTATGTTCGACGGTGTAGACCTTGCCGAAATTCAGACGAGACATCTCATCGAGTCTCTCCTCAGGCCTCGCTGGTTCGATTTCCAAGGGTTCCTTGGTCATTCGTGGCTCATCAGCTTTGCAAGTCGGCACAGATCCCCGCATATACACAATGGCATGTTTTGCTGGGTCGACGCCGGGTTTGGCTACTCCTTTTCCGCCATAAGTGGTGATGGGTCTGAACAGTATAATCAGCGTTGGTTGGTAGGATAGCTCCTCAATGGGCTTGACTTACACACACCAGGCGCATTGGCTCATCGCTTTGACAACCACCATGCGCCGGATACCGCTGAAGATCTCCTCTCCAAACCTGCCTCGGGTGAACTGGTTTTGGGTGGATCTGCCTTGGCTGTGTAAGTCCGAGATCACGGTTCCTTGTGAAATTACGGTTCCTTGTTGTCCTCTGCCTTCATGCCAGAGGATTGCAAAGACCTGTACAAGTTGTCAGAAGGTGCAGATAGTACGGAAAGGGTCTGCAGAAGAGAGGTGATCTGGGGGCTCCTCATATAGTTCTTACCCTTCCCACGATAAAGAACTCGCTAGGAGACCTCTGCACTTGGTAGCCTAGAGATTATTAGATGGTTGAAGGTGGGCGATGGGCAATATATGTTACATACGCCAATCGAGAGGGGTTTCATACACCCCGCCTGATTCACCGCGGATGCTGTAAGCCTTTCGGTTTCGCAGAGTCTATATTGCCATTAGAGACGTGTCGTATCTGGACTGCAGATGCTCACTCACTCCAAGCGGAGGACTGCTCTGTTCGGATGTGACGTGTGTTTCTGTATGATCTGAACCTATTCCAGGCATAGGACTGTACATCATGCGACCACTGGCAATTTGATGCACTCCAGGATTGCGCGAGAGAGTCAAGACTGGTGGACTGTATCCAGACGCTGGAAAATGATTATGCTGGTGTTGCTTGCGAGGACTTGCCGGCTGATAATCACGACTCGCCAAAATATCGTTGTCTAGGTCGCTGGGTCCCTGGGTTGGGAAGCGTGTTCCCATATGTGCAAAATCAGTAGTCAGAGTGTCCATGGCCGTAGAATTGTAGTCCCCAGCAGATGCACGATAATTACTCCGGGTGTTGTATGCACGTTCAGTGGCCACGTCTCCATCATAGACATCAGAAGGATAATTGATGGGTGAGGTCGAGCTATGGACTGAATGGCGCAGGGAGCTCTGTTGTATATTCTGAACACTATTCAAGTTTCCTCCCGTCAGTACCTTTCATATCATGGACCATACCTCCCAGGTAAGTTATATGCTTTCAACATACGCTGGAAAATTGTTCGGCTGTCCACCACGTCGAGACGACAGGCCATATGAAGGGGATGCGAGAGTCACATCGCTTGTAGGATTACCACTTTCATCTCGGTAGAGAAGAGCTGACGACGAGCGTGGAACATCACTTAAGCAAGTCACATCAGCATTGACCGTGAGCAGCCATGGAATTTTCTTTCTACCGTCTTAAGTTCGACTCCTCGTGTCTGGCTGATCGATCGCGTTGTCCTCCGTCGTCACGATGAGTAGCTAAATGCATGAATGAGCTTTCTGCGACGAATCCGAGGTAATGTTTGTGCAGGCCTCCTACCACTAGGACGCTGATGTCGGTGCCTTCTTCCAGAATTGGCCATACTTCATTTCCCGAAAGTTGAAGACAAGTCACAATTGAATAAGTCACTGCTTGGATTGATCGAAATACTTTGATCGAGAAGATCTGGAGGTGCGAGAGTCGAAGCTCTCAAACAGTTGGACTATTGGACTGCATGGCTGCTTAAAGGCAACCAGACGGTAGTGGCAACCCATACTGACATAGCTGGGCTGAAGGAGCCGAATTGAGGCTCTTCTGCTGTCACTCACTTCCCTCCATATTGATAAAATGATCAGATTGACCGAACAGCTTCGATGCACGATGAGCGCCAGGTATGTGTGGCTACTTTGTTGTTCGAATCCTACTCGTAGATGAAATGTCGCACATGACAATCGACCCAGGAAAGTCGCATCTGGCTTTACGAGGTCCGGGATAAGCACCCTCTTTTTCTTGATTGGCCTCGAAGGGGGGGTTGGCGTATGGACGCTTTGCTAACCATCCATGCTTAGTTCATGGTCTCTCCACGAAATTGGGGAGGGGTCTGACAGGAACTACTACTGCACCTCGAACGGAGACTACACGGCTTGGTCCGTCTGACCAGTAGAAGACGCTCAGTAGCGCATCATCAGCTTCACAAGATAAGTAGCACCAATAAGACGGCACGGGAAGGCCGAACGCTCCCGTGTGGTTGGAAAGCCACGACTCACGAAACACTCTCGCAAGGCTGTCATCAATATATTTTGTCCTTTCAAGCATCTGAATCTTTTATTATTGGAAGTCATGGGGAGAACTGCGAGTTAACAGGAAATGATGCCTGTCGACATTCCGGCCTGGTGATTGGGAGGTCGCACAGAGTGATGCTGGCGTCCGCCTATGAGACTCATCAACGTGACGCATCCAGGCAAGGAAAATAGGGAATATATGGGCAATATCCCTTTCATCCGGCTTATTAGAAAATGACCCAAAGACCAAGGAACAAAACCATGAAAGAATAAGACTACCGGGGAAAAGCAAACAATAACAAAGCAGACCAGGTCAGTATTATATTGGTGCTGGACAAATCTCGGGAGAAATGTGAAGCAACAAGGCACACAGTAAACAGAAAAAAGCATTCCGGCCTAACCCCCCCTTTCTGTGGCAGAACAACACAGTAGTCCAACAATCGGGACACACGTGGGCTAGGAGAGAAATTTTGATACACGGTTAATCTCCTTTCTTCACTCTTTTGCCCGGTCTCCTGGACCCAGAAGATGTAAGCATAAAGGAAGCTTCCACTACCTGATCTGTTGTAGTTGCGAGATGGGGTCTTGGCCGGGTCGGATGAAGGATCCAAATCCAACCTACAAAGGGGTGAGTCGCTTATGTTCAGTTGTTACCCTTGTCTTTCAGAGCTCTCCCAAGTGACTTAAAAAATTTCGCATGATGCGCAGAGGAGGAAAGGGGACATTCGGCCCTCTAACACTGTGGAGCTGGATCTTCATGCCGATCCACTGGGTCCAGGTCCAGGCACCACGTCGTTCTTAAGCTTTCCCCACAGGAGGTTATCTCAACCTGGTACCTCGGGAGGTCACGATGATCATGCAGAGCACAACAGTATGGTGTGCAGACTCTTGCACGGACTGGCCGGGTCTCATAGCGATTCCTTTAGGGACACGGATGCTGATGTTTTGCCATCTCCAACAAACCCAACAGAGCATTCAGATGATCTACAGGAGGACCATGGACAGGATTGGAAGTCGCAAGGTTCCCACCAGCCCAGCGAAGCTCGTGGCCATGTGCCGTCACTTGGACCCAGGGCCGCAAGTGGGCGGCTGATCGAACAATTAGAGGCTGTCTCTGCTAGAAGGCTTCGGGCGCGAGAAATGCGCGTTGCTCTACGCTACAAGCGAGAAGATGAGGGAAAGCATAGAGCCGCGCTGATGAAGAGACTCAACTCGCTTCTCGCGCGAGATCACCAGCTCGCCGACCTGATTGAAGGGCTTGAGTCGGCCACGGAATCTTACTTGGACCTGGAGCAAGCATATCATCGGATGGAAGACGAGCTGGATCAAGATGAGTATGTGCTCATCCAGTCTATGCAGCGGTTCGCGAAATCATTGGGTGAGTCGCCACCAGGACTATCGAAGGGAACCCTTCAGGCTGATAGCAGCGCCTCCGATGATGGCGCACGCTCGTTCCATGACGAGCCTCTGGAATACCCACCTGCCGTGTTTGATTACCTCTCACGAGTGGGAGATGCGCGGATACTACAAGAGCGCTTGGCGGAGCTGGATTCACAGTGGTACACCATTGTTGACAAACAGAGGCTGCGAAGCTCGCTCAATATCGCTCTGGATGAGGAGTCTCTACAATTCTTGCGGTCATACGACGGGTCAAGGACGCAAATCCGGAAGGAACTCCATGAGACAATGCTGGACATTGTCCGTCTCCGGGCTATCTGCGACGAACAAGGACTCCGGACCGAAGAGTACACTGGAGACATGGATTTTCTATATGGAATGGGTCTTGATGAAGTCGCATCCCAACCCGAAGATCCTCTGAAGACATCGGCGATTGACGACTCTTCCCCCTTCTACGAGCCAGGGTCTGCCAGAGTCAGCAGTGCCATGTTCATCAACAAGTGGCTTCTGCACCAGCTCCGGCACTCGTCAGTAGAGATCTCGCGCCTCAAAGCCGCCCCAGAATTCCAGCAGTTGTCGGATGAAGGGTGGGACGATGCGAATATCAGTCGCTTAGCCCTGACCGTGTGGTTCTCGGACGATACAGTCCGAAACTCGCCGCAGACTTTATCCCAAGCCGATGATTATGATTACACGGGCGCTACCGAGAGAAGCAAGGCCACCAGACCTCGGCTACAGAAAAGCAACTCTGAGCCCGGCATTACTCCAAAAAAAGAAGGCTCCTGCATTTCACCTCTACGCACTCTATCTTTATAGACTTTCCTCTTCCGTTGTCTACCCCTTTCTCTTATTCCTCCGCAAGTCGCTTATCTCACGTTTTGCATTTGTTTCGAGTTTACTTTGCATATGGCATGTATAGACCTGGATTGGGCCCGGCGCATCGATAGGTAGCATCCATCAATATTTCTCATCTTGTGTCATTCAACTCCTTCCCCCACCTCCTTTTCAAGATTGTCCTCACCGGCATCTCGTCTATTTCGGCTTCATTCCAGCAAATCAGAACACGTTTATTGGCAGACGCATCTTATCAAACTCTCAGCAATACTACAATACCTAATTTCAATATGGCTGATATTAACCAAGCATAGCTTTATTCCCGAATGATGAATGGATTCTGCGACGTCTGAAACGTCTCCCGTAGCTGACCCTGTCCCCTTTTCCGCGGATCGAGCTTTCAGCTCGTAGTAATGCATGGGTGTCCTTGTAAGGATGGGTTGTGGCTTGGGGTCCCTCGTATCGTTGGTGCTTTGAGCTGGGTATCTCGTGGATAGTCTTGCATCAGCTACGCACTCTGGTATTGGACGGATGGAGTGTCCTTCCTCAGATATTTTTCAGCTGAGGTCATCCCTTAGGAGCAGTGGTTGGCGTTGAGCAAATAAAATTGGCTATCCGTTCATTCATGTTAGTTACAGGAGTGTTTAGCTGATTTCAGGGAATAAACTCAAAGTAAAAGTCATAAGATGATATGTTTCATGACACGATCAGACTCCGTTGCCCGTACATCCCTGCCAAAGTAAAAACTTCCATTGTCGTATTGTTTCATCCTGATCCATCCCATCCCATTCGTCATACCCGTAGCAATCGTTGAACATAAAACGCAAAATGAAACTTCATGTAAGCGGCGTATTATTTACACTCTGTAGCTGGAAATGAGACGAAAAAAGACGAAGGCAAAAAAAAAGGCGCGCATTTCCATAAGTCGTTGCTAAATTCGAGTCTCTCACGAGTA